TTATTGTCCTTGCACCATGACACCAGACCAGCCACCTCCCTCCTGTAGGCTGCTTCGTCCCCGCCAGTGATGCAACCTATCACTGTGGTGCCATTCGTGAACTTTAGGATGATGTTGTCTTTGTGGGAGGCGACACAGTCATGGGTGAACAGGGTGTAGAGGATGAGACTGAGGACATCCCTGTGGGGTGCCGATGTTCATGATAATGCTGTCTGGGGCCTGCCAGTCAGAAAGTCCAGGAGCCAGTCACAGAGGGTGGGGTGCAGACCCAGTGTGGACAGTTTGTGGGTGAGTTTGTGGGGGACAACTGTGTTGAAGGCGGAGCTGTAGTCAATGAAGAGTATCCTGATGTAAGAGTCTCCATTTTCCAGGTGAGAAAGGGAATGGTGGAGGGCAGCTGCGATAGCATCTGAGGTGGCCCCGTTGGGCCGGTAAGCATACTGCAGGGGGTCCAGGGGTCCAGTATACTGCTTTGGATGTGGGCCAGCACCACTCTCTCAAAACACTTCATAATGACTGGGGTGAGTGCCACTGGCCTGTAATCATTCAGGTAGGTGACCGGGCTCTTTTTGGGAAAGAGGACGATGGTTGTGGTCTCAAAGCAGGTGGGAACAATGCTCTGGCTGAGGGAGAGATTGAAGATTGTGGTGAGAACATCAGCTCGCTCGTTGGCACATGCCCTGAGAGCCCACTCAGGGATGTTGTCTGGTCCTGCTGCCTTGCGGGGGTTGATCTTCCTCAGGAATGTGTGTACCTGGCCTGGTGAGACAATTAGTGGAGAGGAGGTGGGAGGTTGTGTGGTCCAGGTGTGTGGGTGCTTCCTCTCTGTGTTGTGGCTGGAGGTCTCAAAGCAGGTGTAGAAAGTGTTGAGGTCATCCGGCAGGCTGTCTGTGGAGCTGATGATGCTGGTGGTGGGCTGCAGGCCTTGCCACATCCGTCCGGAGTCAGCAGTAGAATAGAAGCCATTCAGCTTCTCTCTGTACTGCCTCTTGGCCGCTCTGATGGCTTTCCTTAGTCTGTACTTCGCAGCTTTGTACTCCATCTCATCGCCTGATCTGAATGCATGAGAGCGAGCACGCAGCATGTGGCATGCCTGACTGTTTATCCAGGGCTTCTGGTTGGGGAATCTCCTGACTTGTATGGTGGGCACAATGTTGTCGATACAGGTACTAATGTATCCGGTCACATACTCAGCACAATCCTGTACGCTGACAGAAAAGTCCTCTGAGGTGGCTGCAGCTTTAAACACATCCCAGTCTGTCTGGGCGAAACAGTCCTGCAGGGTGCCTTCAGCCTCTGGGGTCCAGAGTTTAATTTGTTTGGTGACAGGGCTTGTTTCTTTCAGTCTTTGTCTGTAAGCTGGATAAAGGAACAAAGAAATGTGGTCTGAGCATCTGAGGTGGGGGTGGAGTGCAGCCCTGTATGCACCACGTATGTTACTGTAAACATGATCCAGAGTGTTCTTGCCCCGAGTGGGATTGTCCACATGTTGGTAATATTTTGGAAGGTTGTGGCGTTTGCTGAGAGCCATTGAGGGATTAGCTCTTGGGCTAACATACACAGCAGCCAGAAACACAGCACTATGCTCTCTTGCTAGATAGTAGGGCCAGCATTTCAGCAATAAAATCTCCACTTCTGGTGAATAGTGCTTAGAAACAGTCCGTACATCTCCATACCACGAGTTATTTGTAAACACACACACCGCCTCCTTTTACCTTCACCAAAGCAGCAGTGCGGTCACCCCAATGTACAGAGCGGGTCTGTAGCTGAATCGCAGAATCTGGAACTTTGTCGGAAAGCTAAGTCTCGGTGAGAATTAGAGCACAGCATTCTCTTATTTCCCATTGTGTTGTAATCCAAGCTCTTAGCTTTATTTGTTTTCCAGAGACTGTATGTTAGCTAGGAAGAGGCTGGGTAGTGGTGGTCGGGTAGCGTGAGCTTTTAGCCTAGCATGGAGCCCTCCTCTCTTGCCCACAGCCTTATGCTGGTTTACGGTTTACTTGCCCCTTGCATGGGGATATGTACATGGACATTGAGAGCCAATGTACCAGAGTCAAATTTTTTGTGTGTCCGACACACCTGGCCAATAAATCAGATTCTGATTCTGATTCTGATTGTTGTTGCGGGAGCAAACGATGAGATGTAGCTCCGGTGGTATGAAACCAGCTACCAGTAACGGTTTCAATGCACATAGAGGCATTGAAAAGGTTACAGTTTTTAAAACAGACTTGAAAAAATGTGAAGCTATTCTTTAATCAAGAAATAATTGCCTCTGTGTCTTTCAATCTGCATCTGCAATATTTGTCATGTATTACTGTACTTCTGCATCTGTCTGTGTAATGT